TTTATTTATGCAAACACTGCTTGGTACAAAACCAAAATTAAGACAAACTATTCAATAAAAGAAAAAGATGAAACTAGATTATTATCAAATGTCTCTGCACCGTCTCTCGCATTCAAAATATGTATTGAACAAACTGAATATACTAAATGTTTACCAAATAAATATATATCAACTTTTATTAATTTTTATGCATAAGATTATTACAAATAGTCCAATAATTTTTAAACCGTTTTTTAATAAAATTCAGCGCAATATTTTACCAAATATTAAGTAATAACTATGTTCAGCCCAAAACTAAATCTGATTCAACAAAATATGTATGGAATAAGATAATCAGTAATGATGTTAAAACGATTGCAAATCTTGATCAGAAAATTGATAATTATTTCTAATTTATTTATGAATTGATCATTCCTGAAAAGATATAATGTATATTTTATTTTGTAAGGAAAGATTGAAGTCTTTGGTATAATTGTTATATAGTATTTTATACAAAAGAAAATTAATGACAATAATATTAACAAAGTGTAACCTTTAAAAAATATGATTTTGTTAATAATTTATACTTGATTTTAATTGTCAAAAATATATATAGTTGAAAAAAAAAAAACTTTTTTTTTTTTCAATTTTAGACTATAATGGATTTTTACAATTTGAATTTGTTACTATATTTATTTATTTTATTTTTGATTAACTTCAATGACTTTTTTTTTTTTAAATGGTGTTATATTAAACTCTCAATTTTGATTGTAAATTATCTGTTCATTATATTTGCTTCGAAATATAATGTTTTTAAAATATACTTTTAAAGTAATTTTTAAAGTTTAGAATATTTTATTTATTTTTTTCAAACTTCACAAAATTTTGTTTTTTATTTACATTTTTTATTTTTAATTGAATGAATTTATATTTGTGTGTGTGTGTGTGTGTGTGTGTGTGTGTGTGTGTGTGTGTGTGTGTGTGTGTGTGTGTGTGTGTGGATAAATTAGAGACTCGGTGATAAGATAAAAGCGCCTCCTTCTTGTCCTCGCCATATTTATGTATTTTAATTCACGAAACTTGTAAGTATGATGCTAAGGGCTAAATAAATAAATAAAAATAAAAAAAACAAACAAAAAAAGCATAAGTTAGAGCATTTGTAAATAAATTTTAGTGTTTAGTCTGCCATGTAAAAACTTGTTGTGTGTCGCTTAGTGATGCGCGTGTCATTAGATTGCCATCTCTGCATTAGATAATTTAAAATAAAAAGTTTCATTTTGAAGATTAAAAATATTGTTTTTGTTTCTATTGCACAAATCATGTCTAAATAAAAAAAATTCATTTATAAAATTTACAAACATAAACTTATAATTGTGAAACTGGTGACACTCAAATACTGAATGTCACCAATATTCTTCCTGTTTAAAAATTTGTTTTATAAAATAGACTTAATGACAAACACAAAATATTTTGTGGTGGTCGAAAAAATCGAAAGAACTTGGATTAGCTTTGCTTATTTCGCGAAAAATCAATTACAAAATTAAAACGAGTTCACAGTGGCCATTAACTTCATCGAGCGAACCCAATTTTAAAATTAGGTGCAGCTTAATGTGCGTGTAAGTCATATGATACAGTTGAGTTATTTTTTAGTTTTGTACCTACAATTATTTTTCTTGGGAGAAAACATTATTGTGTAAATTTTGTGTAATCTGAAAATACACAAAAAATTACCATATATTATGAAAATGATCTTTTCAACTTTAATTTTCTTGACAAAAAAATAATTGTGACAAAAAATATAGTTTGATCTCAACCAGATAATCCCAATCCCATGCGCAAATTTATAACTTATAAATTTGCGCATGCGATTGCGATTATCTGGTTTATCTACAAATCTATTTCATATGCCTTATAAATTATAACGCATATAAAATAGATTTATAGATAATAATTTGACATCTTTAGTAATCATAAACGTTGTGTGTTTGAAACTTCATTCTAAATTGTTTTATTTTTAAATAAGGATTGTTTTTCTTATTATTATTGTTTTGAGCTTTTAATAAATATTCTTTATTGATTTGAAGTGAGTGAATTAAGTGAGTATTTTTGAAACAAGTTATGAAGTTATTTTACAAGCTTGATGTAATTTTTAGCATATTATCTTATATCAATGCATAATAATATGGAAGCTAAATCTTTTATACATATATATATATATATATATATATATATATATATATATATATATATATATATATATATATATATATATATATATATATATATATATATATATATATAAAATAAAAAGTAGAGTTATATGTAATATGCATAAATGTGCCCACGCCAATATTATACTTTTATTATCCTTTTATTTATTATTACGAATACAAATACTGAAACAAAAAACTATTTAAAAAAAAAATACTTCAAAGTATTTAAAATACAAAATACTTTACCAAATTTACGACTATGACCATTCTAAATTTACATAAAACACATTTTAATGTAAAATACATTGTAATACATTTAACTGTATGATATACATTTTTATATTTAAATATTATTCATTAAGTCATCCACCTTTGTTTAGAAGCAGCAGCCATACGAACATGGTATTACTTAGACAATTATGTTTTGGTGTTTGTATTTACCCCGCTAAACAGTCGTTTGACAGGAGCCGACGATGGTACAGTGGTATTAAATTTGACAAACAGTGACCGAGTAGTTTTCCAAATGGTCTTATACTTATATAGAGCATATTCAAACTTGTATCTTTATCATTCAGATACAACATCTACTTCTCTTTAATTGTTGCGCAAACTGAAAAAAAAAAAAAAAAAATTTGGCAAATAAAAAGAAGGGTGAAAACCATAAAAAACATAAAAATTGTTATTTAAAAAAAAAATCTTTTACCTTCAAACTCTATATCATTTTTATATTTACTTGGGGATTTTTGTTTTAAAAAGAGTTAGAGTTAAAAATGTTTAAAAGTTGACTTAAATTTTAAAAAAATTTTTGACTGAAAATTTTTAAAGATTTATTAACTCAAAGATTAAAGTGCTTAACTTCACTTTTATAAGGAAATGAACCATTTTATTTCAAATGATACCATTACGCCCCTTTTTTAAACATTAACTAACTTCTTAAATTAAAATTTCAAAAACAACCAAGCTTTCCCTGATCATTCAACCAAACAAAATAGTTTCCTGACATTCAACCAAACAAAATAGTTTCCTTGTTTTGTCGTTAATTTTTATTTATCCAAACATTATTTTCATTATTTATCATAACATCATTTTTTAATGTTATTTTGAATAAGAAATTATATTGACAATGTACCATGAGATATCTCAATGGAATAATAGTTGATTCATGATTCAAAGATGTCATCTAGATAGTATCTTTGATCAAGAATAGTTTGAAGGACTTTGTCTGGACATAGCTTGATTAGATCATTTTGAAATTACAAGACAAACAATGAGATTGTCTTTTTATACCTTTTAATTCTAACTGGTTTTGTTGAACTTTGGCAAGATGTTGTTATGTTTCTTCATTATACTTTCCAACCAATTTTAAAATTCCTAAAAAACTGCCATTATGAACATCCCCAACGTTGTATTCTCTCCTTGAAATGCTAAACCTCTAGATTATAAAAATAGCAAGATATCTATAATCCGTTTCATGATTGCTCTTCACTTATTGGTTTCACATTGTGTTTGGAGCTGAAAGTGTTTATCTATTCCATTTCCTTGACTCAAACTATATGAGTGTTTATCCGCTTAGCTTTTTCAAAGCTTACAGCTTTGAGAAAGTTAAGCGGATGTAAATTTATTTCAGATAATCAGCGCCAATGTAAATTACTTTACATTGGTGCTGATCATCTGAAATAAATTTCAGCCATGTTTTTGGGTTATTAAAAACTACCTCAAATTTTTTGATTAGATTAGACTCAGAAGCATTTTCTGAATTCAATTTTTCATCGCAGTCTTTAGGCTTTTCTCTCGTATATTGTTCTTCAAAAGCAATCAACTCATGTGCATCTCCTATGCCTGATTTTTTAATCGATAAACCTATTTTGATAAGATCTTCAGCTCTTGCTCATTGATACTGCAGTTACGCTCTCTATAATCTTTCATTTTACTATTGAAAGTAAAATGAGGAGGTTCATTTTCAGATTGGTAAAATTTGCTTATTGATTGATTACCACGAAACTCTTTTTTTTTGAGATTACATGTAACTTGAAAATCTGATAAATTTTTCTTTTTAGACAGCATTTAAATCCTGAGCAACGAGTGACTTGAAACAATTGACTTGAAATTAATTTCAGAACCATAATATTTTCAAATTATATAAAATTATATGATCAATGATTACTGGACTAATTTTGTTTACAAATTCAATAACCAAGTAAAAACTGAGAAAATCGCGGGAAAAGATTTAAACAACTGTCCGAAAAATTGAAGATTTGAGACTAACTTCAAATGTTAGGCTAATGTGCGGGCGTGTGTGTCAATATATACATATTGAGTGTGCATTAGTATATCCGCCAGGCTCCCTTTACCTCGGGGACCCAGAGTACCACCTTTCTCTCCCTTTGAGGAGGCAATGTTACCAGTCGTACCGACTAATTGAGTAATATTTTTTTGATTTGATTTTTTTATTTAAATATAAAAAAATTATAGTTTATTTCCGCATTAGGAATTTTTTCCTCTTAGATTAATAAAAAAAACTTCAAAAAAAGTCTGGTTACGGGGCTGTAACACTCCCTATAATTTTGCATACGCAAACAGATTGTTAGCTCCCAAGCTCGGTGATCTAAAACTGTTTCTCCTAAAAAACGAAACTTTAAACATAAATTATGATTTCAAAATTGTATCAAAATTTCTTATAATTTTTATAATACTTTTTCTCAAATCATTTTAGTGACACGTCGTTTTGTCTTCTTTATCATTTAAAAGTCAAAATTATTTTGAAAATTCGCTTTAAGCATATCAATAGAAATAAAAATATCAAGAAAATATAAACAAATAAATTCACTAAAACATGGACAAAAACTGTACAGTAAGTAAAAAGAAAAAAGAAACAAATTTAGAAAGCTTACGAGAAATGCAAGCAGAAAATTTAAAAAATCTTTTCAACATATTAAAGTGAATTAAAAAAGAAAATTATTTGTTAGATAACACGCTTCACGCACACACACATATACAAACAAAAACATAATTCTGCACTATGTTGCATAGTCACTCTTACACATCTAAAACGTTGTGCTTAAACAAGCTAGTAATACAATATTAACGAAATTAACAAAAAATAGATATATAGATCTTGATTAAAACAGAATTTTTCGATTTATATTTTCAAATTAATGCTGGTATTAACAAATCAATTCTGAAACTATTAAAATGATTTTTAAACAAGTAGAATTTATAATAAGTAAATAAATAATCTAGAATCGTCTTTTCAGTAAAATTTAAATAAGCTAAAAAAGGACAACACATTTTTTGACTAATAGTCGCAGCTCTCAAGCTCAAATAATGAAACAAATTGTTCGCTTTGATCTATGCCATTAAACATATACTCGTTTCGTAAATGAACTGGGTGATCAGTTTCATTTGAATGAGATTGGCAGGACATATCTAAAAAAGGATTATCAATGAGAATTTCCTTCGATGGTGTGGTTTGAAAATGTATCGGACGAGTCAATTCTGTATCCATTTCAACCCAACTAAGTTCTTGTTCATTACTCTCGGGGTTGATACTATTTACAGAATTGTTTTGAAAATTATCTAAATCCATTACAATTTCGTCTGATGAACTACTTGGAGAACTAGAGTCAAATGCAACGTTAGAGCAGTTCGCTGATGTGTTTGGAGAATTTATAAATGACGATCTACTGGTGTATTCACTATAAACTTCATCAGTCATCTGTTCAGATTGTTTATTATTACCTAACAAATCATCTTGCTTAGGAAACGATTCACTAGGTTCAAAATTATTTAACAGTTGATCATTGTCATTGAAATCTCCATTTCGGGAAGAAAATGAATGATTTGTTTTTCTCTCGCAGTGAGAGTCCAACCTGTTGTAAGAAATCGTTTCAAAGTTATCTGAATTACTTAAAATATCAGAAATGGAGAAAAAATTTGACTGTTGAGTACATGTAAAGTTATTATTTTTTTTATTACTAGATGAAGAACGTTGATGCGGATCACATTTTTTAGGAATCTGTGTAGTAAATTTAGTATTTTTATTGACCGGCGATGAAGGTCTTGATAATTCTAGAATAGTAAATCATTCAAAACCAATAGACATAATGAAAATTCAATGTAACCATTTCTAATAATACTAAAAGTAAAAAAAATATAATAAAAAAAATAAATACACACCTCCTATTATATCAATGATATCGTCTATTTCACTATTTGACTTTGCACCATTCTAAATTTAATTAAAAAAAAAATTGAAATAGCTTTTTTAATTGCATAAATAATTGCATAGAAGAGATATCAAAAGTAATTAAAACGATAACAAAAATAATTGCATTAGAGATAAAAAAAAATTTGTTGCATAAATAAGATAACAAAAATTATTAAATAACTCATTAGCTGGTTTAACAAGGGATAGGTGCAGCCATGCATCAACTGATTAATTTAGGGATCAATGCGGCATATTAAATACATGTCTACATAAGGTAGCCCTCAAATACATTGTTTTATCACTCATAAAGACATTTGTAGACAATTTTAATGATGATTTTGGCTTATTGTTTACAGTTCAGAGTAAGTAAAGAAGCCAAACATTAAATTTTAAAAACCTATTAAAAACTTGTATTATGTAAAAATAATGTTATTTAACATGTGTGTGTGTGTGTGTGTGTGTGTGTGTGTGTGTGTGTGTGTGTGTGTGCGTGCGTGTGTTTATATATATATATATATATATATATATATATATATATATATATATATATATATATATATATATATATATATATATATACATTTACATATATAAAATATAAATTTCACATAAATATAATATAACCGAATGAAAATTTAATTATATTATATATTTAATTAAATTTCACATAAATGAATGGATTTTTTAGAGAAAGGCATAACATAGACTTATGCCTATCTCTAGAAGCCTCAGCCAGACTTATGCCTATTGCTATAAGTCTAGTTGGTCAAACATCATCAGTCAAACCCTCATAGACTATAGGTTTTGGTTGGTATAGGAGACTTCTTGACTTCTATTTAAGTAAGATGTCACTGACAATGTCATACTAAAATAGTCATTTATGAGTGCTTCATTACATACACTGTTTGTATTTCACAGCTATTGAGTTGAGAAAAAGATTTAACAACAATTAAAAAAGTAAAACCAAAAATAGCTTACTCAACTGTAGTGAGCACTCAGCACCTCTTGGAGGTAAATACAAGTAATAGCATTACATTTTAAGTAATGTACACATTGTTAGTTTAGTTTTTATCAAATTTTTTTATAATTAAATCACCCAGGTAGAACCTAAAACATTTTTATAAATGTACTTAAAAAGTATGATAAAAGTATGATTATTGGTAGTGGTGTAGTGGTAGAGCGCTCGTTTCATAAGCGAGAGGTTCCGAGTTCAATCCCCACCACGTCCCTGGTAGTACCGCGCTCAACTCGTTTTTCCGCGCAGTAGCCTTGTTGGTCATGGTTCCTGTTTCGGAGTTATAAAGTTGAGAGAGGGTTATAATCACAAATAAGTAGCCTCCTTGTCTGAAGTGGCCTTCTCGGCCTTGAGGAGGTGAATTAACAAAAAAAAAAAAAAAAAAAAAAAAAACCCTCTTACCCTAGGGGTTACAACTGGTTATACAAATACACCCCCAAAAGGTTTCACAATTTTGGGATTTAAAAAAAAAATTAATAAGTGTCAATAATGAAACACAACAAAGATATGAGCAAAAAATCATAACAACAAACTTAAAGATAATTTGTCTATTTTGATTTTAGATCTACCAGATTTCAATCAATTAGCTGCCCTTTGCAGCAAACAGAGATTTGATCTACAAAGATGGTTCTGTAAGAACCTTAAACAGAGATGCGTTACCTTTTTTACCTAGAGATGATCCTGGATTTTCTTTCCAACAACCTGGAGCCATGAAAACTATAAGATAACACCTCATAAATAAAAAAACTGATAAAATTTGTTTACATTGGTTAAAACAAAATGTAAAAAAATATAATAAATAAAAAAGTAAAAAAAGTAAGATTTGAAGAAATTGCGATAGTGAAAATGTTACTCTTCAGGTTTATGGCTGATGTTTTGTATTTTTCTTACTCAGAGTATTATGGATAAGATCACCAAGTTTATAAGTTTATAACAAGGAGAATAGAAACATGGTAGAAACAGCAACCTTCTTTATAACTGTCTACCCTAGTTTCTGAAGCATACTGGTTGCAAACTCACCCTTGAATGATCTTCCTGACTTCAAAAAAACATTTTGTTTCAAAGATCTATACCCCCAGTGTCTGCATTCATAGCCAGTATGCAGAAGTATAACTGGTACTTGACTGAACAATTCTCATATTCCTGCTATTGAAGAGCAGGAGGTAAAGAAGACAATAAGAGTGCAATATTTCAAACAAGTTTAGGATTGTCACAAGTCACAAGCTGTGTAAGTTAGTAAGTAAAGTAAGCTGGCTTCTGTTAGTGAGATAAGTCTGATGGTAAAGTGGATACTTAGTTGTTTACTGTATTCAAAAATTTTGTTAATGACCTTGGTCAATGATTGTGCAAAGAGAAACACTTAATTCAGAACTTTGAACGAGAATAGTTAACATTAAGCACCAGCAAAATTTATTGAATTCCACTAATCAAAGTTAAAAAAAAAGCCAAAATTCAAAATATTTATTAAACTTAGGTTACAAAGGTTAACAAATACTACTATTTTGTTAAATGAATAGTACTAATCGTTAAACATTAAAGCATAGCCACAATAAAACTTTTATTAAATTAGACTTTTGAGAGCTTTAAATTAACAAAAAATGATACAAAAAAGTAAACTTTTTAAATATAAACAAAGCTTACTACTTTTTCACAAAAAAAAAAAAAAAAAAAAAAAAAAAACGTTTTCCTGGAAGATGTTCTCAAATTTTTTTTTTTTTTTTTAACATCTTTACTTCCAACAAGGCTGCAAGCAACCACTATTAGAGTTGGAAGTTACTGGAAAAGAAAAGATGAAGTTTATAGAGCAAGATAACAATTGACTGACGACTTAAAAGATTACAAATTATATGAATCAGGAAAGCAAGATGAAAGAACCAAACTAGACGAATAAGAATTTTTGGAGCACTTAATGAGAATTAATTGAATGAGGAGTAACACCAGAATGAACTTTAGTAGTTGGCACATGAGGCGCTAGCTCTTTTCAAAATTAACATCTTAGCAGATGCTAATTTTGCAATCGATTTGATATATGGTTTCCAAGAAACATCGGATCGGAAGTATGAGTTAATCCTAGAACGAAGGGTAGCTGACTCATTGAGAACATAACCATTCATAAATATAAGAAGATCTAGATTAATGTGATAGTGATTAGCAGAAAAAAATTGAGTTTTAAAAATTGAGTTAAAGATTACCAGCCACTGAGACCTCCATGCTGTAGCAGAAGTGAGATCTTTTTCAAGCTCAAATGCCCCCTCCAAGCAATCAGAGAGTGTTGTCTTCTAATCAAAACAAGAATATATGGAAGTATCATCAGGGAACAATGCCACATTGTGGTATTGTTCACTGATGTGAACAATGATGTGAGAATCTCTGGAAGATTGTTAATGTAAATTAAAAATATTATAGGGCCAAAAATAGAATCTTGAGGAACCCCTAAAGTTACAGGATATGAAGAAGAGTGTTGTCTATAGAGGAGAACTTTTATACTATGATTGGTAAAAAAGAAGTCAATAATCTTAATCGGTAAGAACGAAGCTTATGGAGAAGACCAGCATGCTAAACTTAATCAAAAGCGTTTGATTAAGTTTAGCAAAAGTACAAAAAAAAAATTGGACTCAAAAATTCAATGTTCATATTTAAAGAATCCTGGACTATCTGACTAATAAAAAGCAAATAGATACAATACATCATTTTTTTTTTTTTTTTTGTGCAAATAATTTTTACAGTTTTCATTCATATTTCAAGATAAAATATCCAAACCACACAGAAAATGCATCAAAATGCGAGCAAGAAAACTGTATGACAACATACTGATCATTCTGAAAGTTCGATGGCTGCCTAATTTTTGACAATGAAACTTATGTCAAATTAGACTTTAGACAAATACCTGATGGCATGCAAATCGCATGCAATTTGTAGCTGTGGCAAAAAATGCACTAACAACTGTTGGTGGATACTCAACATTGTAGGCGAAATTCTGACAATATGCAACAGAAAGCTTATCACCAGCATAAGTATCTGTCACATTTTCAGACTTCCACCTGAAAGCTAGGTTAAGGATAACAAGAAGAAACTTTTTAAAATCTTTTAAAGAATCTGTTGAAATGTATTTGCTCAAATAACTTGTTTTATTTGCTCAAATAATTTCTTTGACGTATTTTTGTATCAAATTGTATTAGGGAAATGCACAGAATTTGATTTTATATTTAATGTACATGATTTTAAACTAAAAATTGAATTTTATATACTGCTGAAATTAAGCTCAGAAAATATTTTTATTGATATGATTTTAATCAGTGGACATCAGAGAATAAAAAAAAAATACTGTGCATAAAAAACTCTTAACTAAAAAATGACTGCCCTAACTAAAAGCTTCAGTATATAAGCACTTTGCTTAAGAAAATAGTGAATGCATGTATACTCACTGTATACGCACCTATCCCTGTACATTTATTGACTGATTTAATTAATAAATGGACACTTTGCTGCATGTAAAGAATAAAACTACTTCTAAAGAGATATGAAAGGCTATCGAAATATGAAAGAACATTTAACATGCTCCAGCAAATTATATGCACTTCATTTAATCTATTTAAGATTCTATTTTTTTAATTCATTTAATGAGCTCAATCTGAGCAATATAAAATTTGCCATTAAAAGTACCTAACATACTATATTTAAAAATAAAAGTACCTAACATACTATGTTTAAAAATAAAAGTACCTAACATACTATATTTAAAAATAAAAGTACCTAACATACTATATTTAAAAATAAAAGTACCTAATATACTATATTTAAAAATAGAAGTACCTAATATACTATATTTAAAAATAGAAGTACCTAACATACTATATTTAAAAATTTTAAATCCTAGCAGTTGCCTATAAAGCTTCTTGAAATTTTAATAGAAAAAAAAATTTCAAATTCAAAATAGTTTTCTATTAAAGTAATAAGTAAGATACTTAATTTGCATCTAGGTTTTAACCACAGAGTTTTTCTCTAGGGTCCAACCACAGCAATTTTTTTAACTTTTTCTTCCATTCAACATAAAAATGTACTTAATAAACAAACAAGTTGTAGAAAACTTAACTTAAATTTTTATAAACAAGGACAAAATGTTGAATGAAAAGTTAAATACTTTTCATTCAACATTTTGCATGTTTAACATCTAACAATTTTTTGTTAGATTTTAAACATGCAAATATACATACATACATACATACATACACACATACATACATACATACATACATACATACATACATACATACATACATACATACATACATACATACATACATACATACATACATACATACATACATGTGCATATTTTAATAAGAGCTTATTCATCATTCATACAAAATTATATGCAACTATAATAAATAAATAAAAAGTTGAATAGCATTTAGCTAAAACTTACCACATCTCTCTGAGTGTGTAACTGATCTTTTTGAGAGTTTATATCTTGAAGAGGAGTACTTGCTGAATCTTTAATAGTCTGTTTATTTTCATTTAAATTTGATATGTAACTATTGGGCTTATGTGGCTCTGAAAATGATCTTTCTCTTAACTGATCATTTTTAACATTTGAAACTTTAAAACTGTCTGAAATGTTTACAATCGTTGGACTTATTATGTAATCGTTTGAGTACTTAATAGTTGTAGGCACACTTTGAGAAAGTTGACCTAAATCGTTAGCAGATGGATGAACAGATATATGTTGTGGCATCATATATGTTACACCATTAGATTGATAATAGTGAGGAACTATAGTCTTTTCACTGACATAATGAGGCTGTTGATATATAATTGTTGATGAACCACTTAAAGGTAATTGAAGGGAAGGCTCAGAAGATTTCGGAAAAATTGTTTTGATCCCAGTTTTAACATCGTCTATTTTTGCATAACTAACTAAAGGTTGAATAATGTGCTGCACTTGTTGAGTAGGAGCAAAACTTGTCTGACTAATTTGATACTCTGGGATAGATTGATTAGGAACTGCATATATGAGTTGATACGTTTTTCCTCCTGCAGTAGAATAAGTTGTAACTTGAAGAACAGATGAATTAGAAATTGAAAGACAAGATGAATTTTCAGGAGAAGTTAATAGCAGTGAATCTTTAACTCTGTTATAATCAGTTTGTGATGAATGACCTTCTTCATAAGCCAACAAACGTTGAATTAATCGGGCTTTAGAGCCTGAAACAAGCAAGCCACGCTGCTTTAAATGTGCACGCAACTCTATAACCCGCATCTCTTCAAGATTTTTGCCATCTAATGATAATAGTACAGCAGGTTTACTATTCATACTTGTATCTTTTTCTACAACGCTCTCAATTTTCTCTGTTACGTTAACCATATTATCTGTATTACCTTGAATTGCATTTAACATTGCATTTTGTTGCATAACTTGCAAACGCAGATACAAGGTCTGCTGATCAAGTAAACTCTGATAACGTTCATCAATATGATTATCTTTTAAAGAGTGCATATCAGCTGGGCGACACTCGTGAAATTTTAATTTTTTTACCCGTTGTTTCTGAGGTCGAAACTTTTTAGTTGCAAGTGCTTTGATAAGCTTATCATTTTCTTTTTGGGATAATGAAATCTGTGTTGGTATAAACAAAGTGTTTGTTGAAAAATCTTTAAATTGAATTTGATTTGACAGTTCATTGGATATATTTGGAAACTCATTGGATATGGGTTTAACTAATTGTTCTTTTTGATGATCTTTTTTGTTTAAATCTGAAATTAAATTACTTGTTGATGAGACTTGAACAGCCTCAAAGAAATTTTTATGAAGTAAAGGGCTCTGCAAAGGAGAATTAGGTGAAGGAGCACACTTAAGGGTGTTAATTTTACTTTCTAATTCTGAAATCATTGCTACATTTCTGTTTAAATTTTCAAATGAAACTTCTTTAAGGGCATTTTGTATCGGTGATTCAACAGATAAGATCTTTTCCTGTATAAGTTCTAAAGGACCAGGTCTTTGAAGTAAATGCTCACTAAGATGATCAGCGATACGCTGACGCTCAAGTTTTGTAAGAGACTGAAGTAAAGTCCCATCAGCTTTAGTGTCTAAAATAAGTTAAACTTGATGATGTTACTGAATATTAAAAAAATTACTAAAATTATTACAGTAAGAATAATAAATTAAAAGCAAAAAATGTATTGTAACTACATTGCAACTGCGTTGTTTCTTAAAATCATAACAATAATTGAATTTTTTATATTTTGATGAAATTTTATCAACTTTTTTAAAATATTTTATGAATAATTTATCATTTTTATGAAAAAAAACAAAAAAACAAATTTACGAGATACAATTGCTGTAAACAAATAGTTCTTGTTCACCTGTCAGTATATGTCTTTGGACTAACTGGTTACGACTAGGTCGTACACGAATCTTCTTCTGCAGAAAATCACTTGTCTATCATATAAAATAAAACCAATACAGATGCAATTTTATGCAGTATATATAAATACATACATACATATAAACACAAATATATATATATATATATATATATATATATATATATATATATATATATATATATATATATATATATATATATATATATATATAATATATTAGCAGTATTTTTTGCTCACTTTAAAAATAAGTGAGCAAAAAATAATGCTAATTTAGGTTGTCACTAAATATCACTGATGTCATACTAAATAAGACTAAAGAATGTTTCAGTACAAACAAAAACTGCATGTTTGGGTTGTAACAACATAAAAAAGATTTTTATTAAAGCAAAAAAAAAAAAAAAAAAAAAAGATATTTTAATACCACAAATTTGAAAAAAATTATTAACAAAGCCACAAATGTTTACTTATTACCTTTCTCCTCTCCAATTGAGTGACTTTGTCATATATGCCAGGATTTGTTAATTGAGCTAAACAAATGTAAAAAATTAAAAAATTTACATTGATAATCTTATATTTTAACAATTTCAGATTTCAAAACAACCATTTAATTATTTTCAAAAATATCTTATACACATTTTTATTGGTTGAAAAAAAAAATTGTCTTTAAAATGAACATAATTAGTAAAAAAAAGTTCATCAGTTACATAGTATCCATGTAAAATACTTATGAAGAATTTGAGAAAAAAAAAATGTAGAATTGGCAAACCATTATATTTCCCAAAGGCCTGCTTTGCAAACAAGTTTTAAAATTTGAATAAAAAAGATGGTTGCTTAAATACAAAAAAAAAAATAATAATAATTTTGTAATAAGAATATAACATTAATTGAAAGTAAACAACTTTCTTATTGGTCACGTTTTTTTTAAGTAGGGTAATGTTGGTCAGTGGCTAATCATAACTCTTTAGTAACAAATCCTGTACAAGTCCTAACAAGGAAACTATTCTTTTAAACTTGAATATTATATATTTAATTAAAATATGATTTTTATTATATATAAGTGGTAAAAAAAACTGCGGAAATTAAATTAAGCTTTAGATTCTTTAAAAAACAGCTAACAAAAATTACTTATTTTATATTTCTAAATTAATGCTTTGAATGAGTAAAGTTTTTTTGCATTTAAAACATCAATTATAATGCTTAAACTTTTATAATGCTTAAACTGTTTTTTAATTTCTATAATGCTTAAACTTTTTATCAAATAATTCAAATACATACTCAATGACTTTGGTCATGGTTTACATGAGATATTTCTTCAAAAAGATAAAAATGTGACTTGGGCCTATTGAACACAATTCAAATCGATGCATCTTAGACAACTTTAAAAATATAAACTTTTTAAAATGCATCATTTACTAAAAATGATGTCTTATCTATATACCTGTGATTAATAAATAAATGCAATAATGCTAGATAATTCATTTTTATAATTTTCCTGGGGTAAATAATTCATAGCTTTTTTTTTATCTTTGTTATATGAAATATACTGACTATATAAAATATAATGATTCTCTTGAATTATATGTTTGTTAATAAATCAATAAAAAATTTTTTTTACTGTATTCACTTTCCAAGGCAGAGGAAGCCACTTCAAGTCAAGGAGGCTACTTTTTTTTTTTTAATTATTGTTACAACCCTCTTATAACTCTAAAACTTCAAAACACAAACCATGACAAACAAGCCTTGAGATAGTACCAGGGACATGGTGGGGATAAAACTCGGAACTTCGCATTTATAAAGCATGTACACTAACTCTACCACACAGAATATATAGTAATATGATAATTGTAAAAAATGTTAATATGCTTATTTAATACAAAACATATAAAACAAATATAACTTAAAGGTATTTTAAACATAAAAGATCTTTGAAACTTGACCTTTACAACAAAGTTGTTGCATATATGATATTATGAGATTAAAGATGAGGTAAGATTATCCATTTTTATTACAAAATTTTTCAATAAAATTTTTATGAAAAAATACAAAAATTTAACAATTTATTCAAAAATTTTAAAACAAAAATTTTTTAAGATAATATTTAATTATTCAAAAAATTCGAAACAAAAATTTTCTTATTTTAGCTTAAAACAAGAAAATCAGATTCATAATTTGTCGCAAGTATTAAGAAATGATAAAAAGTGAAAAAAATAAAAAAAAATTTTTAAAGAAACTTGTACATAACCAACCTGGAATAATGTGACGCTCAATCAAAGACACACGATCTGGTCTATGTTTTAACCTTCTCGCAAGTACTATAATTGAAAGAAAAATAAATAAATAATTTAAAAAGATATATAAAATTGAGTTTAATTAAAGGAATACAAATATGTTTCTTCTGGCATTCTGATTTAAAATTTTAAATTAAGAACATATAAAATTGAAACTGAATTAAAAGTTTTTTTTCATAGCAGTGGTCATGTGGTCTAAGACTAAAAAAATTGTTTACTCAAAAATCACAACTATTTATTAGGAATAACTTGTCATATTCTTATTCATGTGTTTTTCTTGAAAATTGAAAATATTTTGTGATGGGTCTCTTAAAATACTAGTTTTTTAAATATATTTGGGCATTACATATTTAACATAGTTAACATAAAAACAATCAAAACATAGTCTATGAGCAAAAATTTTAGATTAGTAAATCTTACATATTATAGTTTTGCAAACAATATAAATAATGTATTTAATCACAACATCATAAAAAAATAGTTCAGTTGTTTGTCGCATACAGTTTAAAACATGTTTCAAATTGTATGCGACTTTACATTAAAGTAGCAACTTTGAATTATCATTATGCAATTATTATTTTTTGTAATCAAACTCTTCTCATAATCAGTTAAAATATTAGTGGATAGTATCTAGTGCTTATTTGGAGTACTTTTTAAGGTCATATACAGACCTTTAAGACTCAATGAACTGATGTATATGATGAGTAATAAAATATACTTTTGTTTTTATACTGATTACAAGTCTATTAAAAGAACCAGTAAAACTTAGTAACCTTTGTAATAAAGTGCACAATCAAGAGCATTTGTTTTTTTAAATAAATATTTTAAGTGGTAAGTTTAAGCGTGTTTAGAAGTATTTGAAGAAGTTGAAAATTTCGTAATGTCTAATGTTCCCTGTCTTCTCATACTAGTTTTTAAAAATTTGGTTGTTGCATTTTAAAGCATGTTTTTTTTTTTAAATTCAACTGATAATAATAATACAATCAATAATAATATAACTAATAGGGAATGGAAGACTACTTCAAGTAAAATATTTCCGATATCTCTTTGTAACTAAATGTAATTAAAATTACTTATAACATTTTTAAAAAGATATTAATATTTGATTTTAACAATCGATTATTATCCTGCATGAACAAAAATCCAGGACCAGTTAATCATAAAATATATGAAAAAGCATTTTCTTTAAATATTTTTTTATTTTACTATCTCGTTATACAATCAATTTTAACAAGATCTTTAGTGCCAGTTAAAGCAAAAAATCCCCACACATAACAGACCCACCTCCATGTTTCAATGATGGAATTTTTGCTGTACTTCTTACATAGATATATCTTTAGTTACTTAAAACTTTAAATTTGGACTTAATTTTGGATCTAACCACAATACATTTTTCAATACAGAATTAAATCTGTCAAAAAAAAAAAAAAAACCTTTGACAGGCCTTTTTAAGAAGCACTATGCAGCTGCGCAAAAAAATGAATGTTATCAATAGAAAAGTGAATGTTATCAATAGTTTACGTTATTACTTTTATTTATGTAAATTACTTGTAGTCTACATTTAGCCCTATAATGAAAAATGATTAGAATTTGTGAGAAATTTGCTGACTGCAAAAATTATTATAAAAAATAGCATCAGGCAACTCAAAAAGTCAGCTGGCGACCAAAATTAACAAACCGGTTACTTTCAGTCGCCCTTCTGGTGACCAACCATAAGTCTAAGTGTATACCCTTGTATATCTTTTTTTTTTGCTTCACTTATTTAAATTACTTTTACTGGTGGCTGAGAAACCTTTATTTCATAAATGATTGAACTTTTTTTTTATTATTGTTTTAATAAAAATATTTAATATGTAATTTTTATAATAATATAAAAATATATACTGATTGCTGTATTTAGCTGAGAACATTTTTTCTTTAAACTGTAGTTACTTATTTTTCCTTTTCTCCTTTAAATATTTTTATTTATTTTCTCATAAGTTTTTGCTGCAAATGTAATAAATGTATGATTTATTGACAGATAAATTTAAAATATTCTATTTTTTAAAATATATACATTTAGTAAAATCTTGTTTTATGTAAGATTGGAGTTTCAGTACATGACATCATTGATTTTTTTTTGTGTGTAAAAGATCGATGATATAAACAAACAAAAAAATCAATAATGTCATGTACTGAAACATTAAGGAATAAAACGTGCTTGAATAAATTATCAGGTCTGTAGATTGCGGCGATTATATTATGCTAATTTTTTGGCCTACAACAAAACAGAGAAAGTAAGCTTCGGCTAAAATAAAAAAGTTAGTTTTTCTTGGTATGCATTTATTCTTTTGTTTTAATTTAAAAAATTTAGCCCAAACATTTTTTTTTAAATCATTTTCTTTAATATGAACACAACGTGTCTCTCCCAAACCTCCAAAAAAAATTTTTTAATATCGTATAAAGTTTGCTTTGATATTAAAAAATAAATTAGACATTAAATTACTTAGATTATCAAATTTATAAATTATCAAAGTTTTTTTTTTTCATTTGAATAAAAATCTGCGCGCAGGAGCGTTATTTTAAACAATCTAACATTAGTAGGTAATTTAAACCTTAGTTATTGCAAGTTTATATTTACAAAATGCATAGATTTTACTTGAAAATATTATTGTAAAAAGAATACGAGTTTGGTAATTGTTAAGCTTAAGTAATTTTTGTGTTTAGTTTCAGTCATGAAGAACTATTACTGAGATGAAAATTTAAACGCAAAAAAATTAAAATTTTGACGCCCAAAAAAAACAATTGACTGTCAATTCCATGAGTTAGCAGGTCAATTGACTGCTTGCCTAGGATTTCTTATTTTCAACACTGTTTATAACTGACATAAACTTACTGAATATAGGTAGAAATCATATAGTATATCATATTTCAAATATTTACATTCTTTCTTAAGTGATATGCACATTAAAAGTAATGTTAATAAACAAATGATGACAGCCAGAACCGTATTTTAACTATTTGGGGCCCTGTGGTGTAACTTTTTGGGGCCCTTTTTTTAACTATGTTGAAGTCATTGTTATTGGATTTTATTTTGAAAAAATCATAAAAAGATATTATAAATCAATTTTCCTTCTTTTACTTGTAAATTCATCAATTATATCATAGTAATCAATAGTTCTGGCGGTTTCTATTGACAGTAATCCTGTCAATGCCACAAGAAAGAGTTTCTTGTGGCATTGTAGACCGTAGATAACTTTTCAATTAATTTTAGTTTTGAAAATGATTGCTAACAATCAGGGTTGCCAGGTTTTTTTTCAGGCACAAGCCAAAAATAAACCAGAAATAAACCAGACCATAAAAAAAGAAAAAAATCATAATTTTTTGTTTTAAAGCCTTGTTTATAATTTATATTTTGAAAAAACTGCTATTTTATCCAAAAATTCATCCTTGAATATTAAAATTTAATTTGTAAGAGAGTGAGGGAGGAGGAGCAGAACGACTTAGTGAATGTTTAATTGGGTGCCAGACCAGCCTTTAAAGTGACCTGGGTAAATTAGTTCACTCCCAAACACCTATACTAAATCCAACACTATCAACCTGTAAAATATATATATATTTTTTTGCTTGCATATGGATATAGATTTCCTTTCCAACATCTCAATTATTGACTCAATTATTTCAAAGTCCTGGTAAAAAATATTTTACCTTATTAAATATGATTTGACCCAAATGAATGCATGCAAGACTTAATTTGATATTTTCTTAGTCTGATTTTTATGCAGATGACCTCTGAGAAGACTCAACAAAATAGTTAGAAATGGGACACATAGACAGCCGTTGCAGTAAATATCTATATTGAAGAGGTCTAGGTCTCCGGAAACATCTAAATGGTTTCACGATGCAGTTTAGAATTCAGCGGTGTTTTTAGAAACTCATTTTTCTTAAAAGTTTTTAGACTCGCTCTATTGATGCAATATTAACTAATTTATGATTAATGACGATTTCTGTAATGATTTTTAATTTCTCCACCTTTTGCATCCTTAAGATATAACTCTAGACTTGAAACAGCCTTTTCAGCTTGGGAAACAACATTCAATACAGGCAGATTTTTCTAAAAAAATGTCATTTTGAATGTAAGAATTTTTTAACATTTTTGGCAATTAAGGGATAAAAACAACATTTGAATGACATTACAATTAAAAGTTTTTAACGCTTTAAGATTTTAATGTAAGCATTTCTTTCATTTATCTTAAACTTGATTGTTCTTCTATAAAATGAAAAAAATGGAAATCTTTCTTTCCCTCAAATTAACATTTTTCATGAAATAAAAACTTGATTAAACTGATTTATTATTAAATAAACCAGAATTAAACCAGATTTTGAAAAACATACCAGAACAAACAAAAAAAGACCAAAGACTTTAAAACAAACCAGATTTAAGTTTAATAGTCAACATTCCAACTCGCTTTCCAGACAACCCAAATCATTTACCTTCTCTACTCAACTTATGTCTTGTTTCTGATCCTAGTCAGTGCTCAGCTTCTCCACATTCACCCTTAGGTGCTTCAGATCACAGTTTGATTTCTCTAAAACTATTATCTCATTCTTTATCATTATAAGAATCCACCTATCATCGTACCTCTTACAACTACCTTTAAGCTGACTGGGACTATTTCTGTGATTTTCTTTGTGATAGCCCTTGGGTAGACTTGCAACTTCCAATCGAAACTGTTACTTCTATATCTATCAGCAAAACAATTCTCCAGAAAACAGGCGTCTGTTTATTACTGATAGAAACTATTGTAAAAAGGTTGTGTCTAACGCCAAAGCTTGCTATTCTCAGGTCACGAAATTTCGTATTTCATCACAAAAATTAGGCTCTCATGACTTCTAGAGAATCTTTAATAGTATCAATAATAAAAGCAAATCTGTTATTCCACCTCTCTTGTATGGTTCAGACTTTGTCACCTCACCTAAAGACAAAGCTAAATTGTTTGCTAAGAACTTTTTATCAATATCATCTCTTGATTCCACTAGTTGCGTTCTACCTGATATAACCGTCAAACAGGTTGATCAATTGCTCAACATTCGTATCACTCCAGCTTCTGTATCTAAAGTGATTTCCTGCTTAGACTCTTCTACAGCTTGCGGCCCGGACAACATACCTGTTATAGTCTTGCAGAAGTGTTCTCCGGAGCTGTCCTCTATCCTTTCAAAACTATTTAACAAGTGCTTATCAGAGTCTTGTTTTCCAGCCTGCTGGAAAGCAGCATCTGTTATCCCTATTTTTAAAAATTTTGGAGAGCGATCCGATTCGTCTAACTACCGTCCCATTAGTCTTCTTCCTATCATAAGCAAGGTTTTTGAATCTTTAATTAACAAACACTTAATCTCTCATCTCGAATCCCATAACCTACTTTCTGATCATCAATATGGATTTCGATCTTTTCGTTCTACGGCTGATTTGCTAAAAGTAATAACTGATAGGTTTTATATAACATTAGATAAAGGTGGAAAGGTTAAGACTATCACTCTTGATATTTCTAAAGCTTTTGATAAAGTTTGGCATGCTGTTCTTCTTCATAAGCTTTCTTCTTACAGTGTATCTGGCAATATCTTTAAGATTATTGAATTCTTCCTTTCCAATAATAGTATAAAAATTGTCCTCAATGGATAGCACTCTTCTTCTTATTTTGTAACTTCAGGGGTTCCTCAAGGTTTAATCCTAGGCCCTATACTCTTTTTAATTTACATTAACGATTTCCAGGTATTCTTACATCTAAGGTGGCATTGTTCGTTGATGATACTACCATTTATTCTTGTCATGATAAAAAGCCAACACTCTCTGATTACTTGGAGGGGACATCTGAGATTGAAAAGGATCTTACTTCCGCTATAGTATGGGGTTCACAGTGGCTGGTGAACTTTAATTCAAATAAAACTCAATTTTTTCAGCCAATCATTATCGAAATAATTTACATTTATGAACAGTAATGTACTCAATGAGTCATTATCGTTTTTTTTTTTATCTTTTTTGGAAATTATATATCAAATCCATTGCAAAATTAACATCTGCTAAGGTTGCATCTCTTTATCGAGCTCGGCATTTTCTTACTCCGGATTCTATTCTCTATCTCTATAAATCCCAAATCCGTCTATGTATGGAAGACTGTTGCCATATCTGGGGCAGATTTTTTAACGATGCCCTTTCTCTTTTAAACAAGGTGCAAAAACGCATTGTAAACATAGTTTGACCTGCTCTTGCAGCCAACCTCCAACGATTATCACATTGTCGTAATGTTGCATCTCTTTCTCTTTTCTACAATTACTATAATGGGCATTGCACGAAAGAGCTAGCCTCTCTTGTGCTATCTACTAAAATTCCTTCTCATGTTACTTGTCATTCAATTAAGTCTCATCTTTTTTCTGTGACTGTTCCTAAATGCTGCAAAAACTCTTATTCTTCTAGTTTTTTTCCTGGAACATCAGTGTTTTCATCTTGCTTTCCTGATTCATATAATATGCAATCTTTTAAATTGTGTGTTTCTTGCAGCCTTGTTGGAAGCAAAGATGTTAAAAAAAACATTAAAGTTCTCTATAAAAGTATTTTCTTTTATAGAGAACCCCATGCTATAGCGGAAGTAAGATCCTGTGAACCCCATGCTATAGCGGAAGTAAGATCCTTTTCAATCTCAGATGTCTTTTGAAATATATCTTTAAATTTGACCAAAGTGCGCAATCTCAAGAGATTCTTTGCCAATATCTTGAGATTATGTTCTTTCCATGTTGTTAAGGATAAGCGAGGTTCTAGTAATTTATCAAAAGACTTTTTTAAACTTGCTAATATTTGAGTATAACAAGAAGACCTTTAGTGAACAGTGCAATAACATTTATTTCTACCAATGCTTCTTGTGCTTCTTTTATAATCTGTTCAAAATTGTTTTTGAAAAATATTAGATTAGGCGATAATAGCATAGTATGTTGAAATGCAATAATAATTGCCGTATTTTTTACTGAAGCAATTAGCTAAAAATGTGAACCTTTGATAACAAGTGATAGCAAACTGTTGTAAGCACTACAAATTCATAAGAGTTTATTTTATAAAAGATGTAGTAAGAGTTTTACAATCTAGGAGCTTATTTTTAAGTTCATCTAGTGCAAGACTTTAATTACTCATTTAAACTGTTATTCTTGTTTATAGATAGTGCTTCGTTTTAATTTTGTGTTTTGTTGATGCTATATGTTTGTGAAAAATTAGGAAATATTACTTGAACTCTTAATAAAATAGTTTCTAATCGTAGAGTAACTTAGCACTTAAATTCTCCTAAGATTTTGTTTTCTAGTGCTAGTTTTGATAAACAAATTTCTTATAGAAAAACATTTTTTATATTTACTGGATTCCCCATAAAATAGGGAATCCAGAGCAATTGCACTTGATCCATATGCAATAGTACAGCTTTGTTGACAGCAGACAATATCTATGTAAAATAAATATTTTGCTAAGCAGACATATTTTGTATTTATTGTTTATCATTTTGTTCAATTTGCTCTAGAGCCTTACAATATCGCTGAATTATTTTATAAATATATTTCAATTAATTTACAAGAATATATATACTTTTTAGTAATTTAATGCAAAATCATGTTTTGTATTTGCAAAGACAGTAAATTTTTTTTAATGCTAGACTAGATAAACATTAATTAACAGCTGATAAAGTATAAAATTTAAATTTTAGACTATGACATCAGTCATTGCAGCAGTTTGTATTACTTATATTACTATTACTTTCTGTTAAAGTGCTTTTAAAAACAATTTCTTAAATCAATTTTTTAATAATTTCAAAGTGAACCTCTGTGAAGCAATTTTCCCCCGCTTGCTGAGAAATTATTAATTGCTTTGCAATTAATAATTTCTTAGCCATAATTGCATGGCTTGAGGATTTTAACAATTGCTCAGATTATCCAACAAAGTAGAAGCAGCCATGTATGTTTGTATGTATGTATGTATGTATGTATGTATGTATGTATGTATGTATGTATGTATGTATGTATGTATGTATGTATGTATGTATGTTATATGTGTGTGCTTAAAATTTATAACCATTTCATTGGAATGGAAATAATCAAAAAAGTACCTTCTTTATTACTAAACAAATTATCGAGAGAGGGTGAAGTTCTTTGTCTTTTTGAAGTGGAAACAGTCATGTCTTCTTCGATTTCTTTAGCTGAATGTAAATTGGTTGTTTTATGATTGAAGATGCATTTTTGTTCCATCAGTTAGATAGATGTAGCATATTAGGAATTTGCTGTAAAACAAATCTAGTACTTAATATAGTGTAAATAGTTAATATACGAAAGTATGCAAGTGTAATGCAACAAGATACAACAGGGTGATTAGATACAAATTCGATATTAGATACAAATTCGACATACGATAGTATACATTAAGGCTGTGAAATAAATATATTAATCAATTTCAAAAAATAGTAGTTATAACATATAATAAAAATATGAGCGACAGTGTAATATTATGCTAAGCTAAGATAATTAGACTTTCAACACAAAACGTGGGATTATCTTTTTTTTTTGAAAACAATAATTATTGAGCGTTTTCTCACAACTCGATAAAGTTGTTAAAGTTGCCAATCGCTCACTTTAATAAAAAATATATACTTATACTTTTCCGTATATTCTAGTATGATGATCGTTCTGCTTAAATTGTTGTTTAACTTAATTTAAAAAATATTCAAAACAAAATAATATTTGACTGCAAACGATTTTATTTAATATAAAACTTGATCGATATGTAGTATTATTTACACATTATTATTATTCTAATTGTTATTACATAATAATAAATTTATTACTTACTTAATATTATATTAGTTATATATAAAATTTTATTATACAAATACAATGCTTTTTTTAAAATTGCATTTATTTATTCAATACCAATATTTTAAGAATTATATTACTTGTATTTGTTATTAATGTAAAAAACGGCAAGCATTAAAAAGATATAGTATTATTTGCGTGTTGTTGTTGTAGTCGGAGGTGATTTGAACCCAAAATTAACATTTTTACTCACGGCCAACAAAGAATTGTCACGCAAAAAAAATAATAAACACCACCTATAACTTAATCAAATTTGCAACAAAAATAATCATTTTTTTTAGCTTAAGTAAGTCACTTCAATTCAGACGTACTTTTAAATACCAATAGAATGGATGGTTTTTATTTTTTAAACAGTGAGTAAAACTCATCGAAAAACACTTATCTTTATCACCATTGAAATAAAATGATTTTACGTTTTATATAATAGAAAAAGTAGTACGACTTACTGGATTTATTAGAACCTTTAAAATGATTATTTACAAAAAGCCACTAATCCTGAGTTATATGACTATCATTAACGAGTCAAATAAAATCCACTAATCAAAATGTGCGTCACCGTGAAGTCCAATATTTGTTCACTGTTTCCCTTTTGTATTTGATAATTTAAATCATTCCATTACTAAAAAAAAGTTACTTTATTATAAATGTCACTTTTTTTAACTTTAAAATAATTTTTTATTTGTTGTTATTGTTGTTGTTATTGTTGTTATCTTTGTTGATGTTGTTGTTTTTTGTATTGTTGTTGTTATTTATTGTTGTTGTTGTTGTTGAAAAGGTTATGAAAATAGAGCGTTTATTTTTATATTTATCATTTTTTGATACGTTTTTGTTGTTATTTTTTTTTTTTTTTTTCCTTAACTTTTCTGATATTTTAAAGTCGCATATTTCAAAAATTTACTTTATTAGAATATTTTGTTTATTTTAGCATGTTAACGTAACTAGCGGTGTCGGGCTTAATACGAAGGGCAACTTTGAACCATATTGCGAGGTTAAAATTATCCTAATTTATCTCCACTCTTTGAAAAAAATAAGTTATTGATTGTGTTAAAAATATCATTACAGAAACAAAAATTATATTAGGGGGGGGGGGGGTCAGTACTATCCCGAAATAGTTTTAAGGACCATTATTTTTTTATATAATATTAATTATTGTGAAAAAAATAAGCTATTGATTGTGTTATGTAAATCAGAATAATGTTTTGCTACTGTATCAAAACCTAGGTATAAGTGAAAAAGTTGAATAAGTAATAAATATTTTTTTTATATGCCTATCCTAAAGTTTTCATCCTTTAAATCGTTTCAATTCTCAAAATTCAATCTAGTGGAGATAAAATAAAATAATTCTTACCTCATAATTTACCAAAAACGACAATGGGTGACGGCGCCCCCAACAGCTTCTGATAAATTATCGAAATTGAAAATCTATTTTAGAAAAAAAAAGGTGTTTTGTATGTCGTTGAATTGTAAAAGTATAGTATCTCTAGGAATCCTCGGATACCATTAAACAATACTAAAGATACTTACGACTTAATGAATTCCACAGCTGTTACGCTGTGATAACTTCACATTAGCGATCAGCATTAAATTCAAATATTGAAACTTGAAAAAATTAATTTTGATTCTCTATAAACATAATCAAAATTTATTATATATATATATATATATATATATATATATATATATATATATATATATATATATATATATATATATATATATATATATATATATATATATATATATATATATATATATATATATATATATATATATACATGCTTAGGCTTTTTGCTTTCGAAAACATCTTCATTTTCAGATATTGTTTTTTTCTCTTCATAACTATCACAATTTTTTTTTTAATTTTATGCTTTTAAACTATATTATGTTTTTTTTTTTTTTTTTTTTCGTTAAAAAAATTTAATCCAGAGTTTATTATATAGACAGGAAATAGATTTTAAAACTACTTTTGTGAGCTTTTAACTTTAAAAAATAATAATAAATGCCTAGAATCATTTAAATATAAATGTTAACTACTGCCGTAATGAATTTTTAATAGTTATAAGTAACAGTAAGTACATGAACATTAAACAATTAATAAATTAAAAAAAAAAAAATTAATGCAGTATAAAAGCTGTCAATATGGTTTCATTTGATGTGTGACACAGATGACTCGTGTTTACAGTTTATTTATCAAAGTTGTAAACAATTAGTTGCTTAAAAATACATAGAGTATTTCGGAAACAAAACAGTTTATAACTATGCCATAATTAACTTGAAACTCAAACAGTTGTTTAAATTATAGATTTTGCGTTTATAAGTCCCTTAAATTTTAAGTTTTTCAAGCATTTATAAGTCCCTTAAATTTTACTAAATAAAAACACAATAATAGAAAGAATAGTCAACATTAAAACAAAAAAATAAAACTTCTTGTTAATTGGTTTAATTTTTTTCATACTGCTAAACTTTCCCTTTGTTAGATCAGCGGCGCCGCCTAATTACTGAGCTGTACGTGTTTTGTAACATTTTATTAATAATTTCCGAAATAAAACATTTACTCAGCATTTACCCTTGGCTTAATTTCTTTTAATAAAATTAAATTAAAAAATAATTACTCTTTTGAGTAATAATAAATTTTAGTCAATTAAGAATATTTCTTGTGTTTTAAAATGTTGTTAAGTAGCTTTGAGGACGAAAAATGTGAAAAAAATTTAACTTTAAAATCCGTGCATTAGCTTAAAGGAATTACATCATTACACATTAAAAGTGTTTATCGCATTTTAATCTATTCTTGAAGGTGCAATCTAAAACGATGCAGACCGTATTAAAAAACTAATTTGAAAATCATTTGATCATCCAAAATCATCCAAATATTATAAAATGTTAAAAAAAAGTTATTTTCTTTTAATAAAATATACTAGTTACAGTATTTTATACAATGCAATTAGAAAAGGTATTAACAAACGATGCTTCGTAATAAAGATAAAATATTAATTGTAAAAAGATAAGATATTCGATACCGTCATAACTTTGACGTAAAACAAAATTAAAATAAACCTACGTAGTACAGCTGTTACCTAATGTTATGTGAAATAATTGCAATCGCGTATATGTTAGCTTTTAAAGGACGTTCAACTATTTATACTTTGTATAATTTTACAAATGCTTCAAATTATTGTTCGTTACTATCAAAATAAATTCAAACGAGCAAACAATCGAAAACAATTAAAATAAAAAGATAACGAAGTTTGAACCTTCTTTTTATATTTTTTTCTAATTTCTAGTTTTAAAAACCAACCAAAAGTTTTAACTGGAAATTAAACACTTTGCATCTTCTTAATGCAAATGTAATGAAACATGTTAAACAAGGTCATACCATCTTAAACTGGTTTCATAATTTTTCTTTTTTTAATTTTCAGACGTGTCACTAAAATTTTCAAATAAAACTAATTGTTTAAAATGAGGAAGTTCCTTTCTGCTATTTTTAATTATATTAAAAAATATGGTTTTAAATTGTTAGGTTATTCCACAAAAGAAATAAACATACTACTAAAATACTTACTTGATGCTTAAAGTAAATATAAACTTTATATATTTTTGGTGTAAATTTTAAAAATTTTCTTTTACAAAAGGCAATTATTTTAAATTAAACAATGCATGTAGACCAGACTTTTGTAAACTTTTTGTAACTTTTGTTAAAGTAATTTAAATTTAAAATACACTCCCAACATCATATTTAGAAGAGTTTGTTTATATGCAACTATACTTACAACTAGAATCATTACAAGATCAGTCTAATTGCATCATGGGCGAATCCAGCATTTTTTGGTCTTTGAAACTAATCTCTTGACATGGAGCAAACTCCAAACATTTATATTTTTATACTTTTGCCAAATAAGGATGCTTTGCAAAAAATTGCGATGATTGGAGCCTGCGAACAAAAAAACCCTGATATTTTCTCCCCTCCCCCCAGCTCCATGCGTGAGAGCAACAAGTTGATGAAATATTTTTTTTTACTATTTTTAATTAGACTTATATTCATTGATAAATTTTAAATTTCATAGTAAAATATTTCAGCGTTCAAAAATTATGACCATGCAAAGTTTACACCCCTCTCAATTTGAGGGCTTGCAAATTTTATATGTTCATAATTTTTGAACGATGAGAAATTAAACTATGAAACTTAAAGTTTTTCGATGAATACAAGTCTAGTTAAAAATAGTACAAAAATGATTTAATCAACTTGTTGCTCTCATATTTAAGGCAAGGGGGCAATCATTTTGGGGCATTTTTGTTCCCAAGCTCCAACAACCACAATTTTTTGCAAAGCATTTTTATTTGACATAAGTATAAACATATGTTTGGAGTTTTGTTCCAAGCAACCAGCTTGGAACAAAAAAAAACATAAAACTTTGCCAATAACTGGCAATAACGTGAGAGCAACAAGTTAATTTTTTTTTTTTTTAGTATTCTCAACTAAATTTATATTCATAATAAGTTTTAATTTTCATTTAAGCGTTTAAGTTTTTTTGAACTCTAAGAATGATCAAAAAATACTGCCTGATTTTTAAAAGTTTTGGCTACATATGGTTTGATAATAAGATAGCAAAGATTTTCAAGCTTTAATAAAATTTAATAATTTCTTATTAATCTAATCAGTTATAATATACAAGGCGTTAAGAGGATGTTTTTAGAAAACAAGATTTTAAATAAAGGTTTATATATAAATATACAAACATACATACATACATACATACATACATACATACATACATACATACATACATACATACATACATACATACATACATACATACATACATATATACATACATACATACATACATACATACATACATACATACATACATACATACATACATACATACATACATACATACATACATACATACCCAGTATGTATGTATGTATGTATGCATGTACCCAGTAAGCACAGATCGTTTTTAAAACGTTTAAAAAACGTTAAAAACCGTTTTCAAAGGTTTTTTAAACGTTTTAAAAACGTTCTGTGCTTACTGGGTACATACATACATACATACATTAAATTAAATACAATAATATTACGTATATAGAATTTATAAGTGAATAAGCATAAAGTACATACATAAAATAGTAAACTTGTAAAAATCATTATTTTCAGGTAATAATAAAATGAAGGGAAAAAAAAGTAATGATTGTAATAATAGTTGTAACTTACAACTTTTAGGTGATAACAAACAAAAACAAAAAAAAGAGAGAGAATAATTTTATAAATAATTATAAAAGATAAAATCGTCAAGAAGTTAGAAAAAAGTTTTTAGAATTTTTTTTTTTTAACTGTTTTTGTATTAAATGAAGAAAAAATTTGAAAGGGTTTAAAGTTAAAGTTTTTTACCATAGAATGATTACCATTCTTTTGAATTTTATCAGATGCATTAGGTTTTCAATTAAATGTATATTTCTAATAAAGTATGTAAAAGGTAAAATCATGGTTAAACTATGTGTCCGGGGCTACCCTCCAAATTTGAAACATGCCTTTTTTCTAACATTTTTTCTTTTATGTTTTGTATATTATTATGATACACAATAATTATTTTTTTGTTTCTAATTCGATTGATGAATGTTTGAACTTTTAAAAAAAGTCTTTGACACTTTTTTTTCTGTTAGCACATGTGCACAATCTATATTTTCCTTAAGTGTCTGGGGCTACCCGACTCTCCCCTACTAATTTGACCCCAACTTTGACAACAGTAATTAAAAAGAAAAAAAAAATAAAATACTAAGATGAGACTGCTAAAGTTCCACCATAGCAAAAAAGTAGTACTAATATCATTACACCCATGCCCTTGTTCAGAAATATTTTATTGTTGCAAAAGCATTGCATAAACGAAAATGGGATTGTCCCCAAAAATCTTTCAAATCTATTTTAATAACATTAATCATAAGTATTCAACTAAGTTTTCAAATAACAGCTTTGTCCAACTCAAATATAATCTAAAATTAACCTCCTATTCAATTAAATACCGTGGACCTTATCTGCGGAAAAAATTCCCAGGTATTGTCAACAGAAACAAGGCTACCTTAGAGCAATTCAAGAATGAATCAAACGGATTGTTACTGTTTAGGGAATTTAACTTTTCCGACTTGAAATGTTTCTTCTAAAGTAAGCTCAAAACAGATTTATTTATACTAATGAAATTTAAGTGATGATGTTTAAAATTCATCTTGTGATTATGTTAATTATGAAATTTTACATTATTTTTTTATTTGAAAATTTTTATTTAAATGTTCTTATACATTTTAGCGGTTGTAAGCATTTTAATACTTCTTAATTATTTGCTATTTTGAATTTCTTTAATTTCTTAGTTATTTTCTGTTTTAATTCTGATTTATGTCTTTATATATATTTGTATGTTACGATTATGTAGAGTTTTTATATATATATATATATATATATAGGGGGTTCGGTGATAAGGCAAAATGTGCCTTCTTCTTGCTCCAGCCATTAATTTCGATAAATGTATATGCAATGTAAACATTTTTTAACGGCGAAATAAATTACACACACACAAAAAAAAAAGCAATCGATGGTGAACAAATTTGTAAGAACGTTACAAAATCTTTGGCTTGTTGCCAAA